TGCTGGCTCCCAAACACGGGCTTTGGCTCGCAGATCTGCTGGCTTCTTGCACTTCCTCGGGGCATTTCTTTTCTTTCCTTTCCTTTCCTCCCTGATGAACCCTTGAATTCACGGGACTCTGGACACCATGTTACAGAATCACAGAATCGTAGAATCACCAAGGTTGGAAAAGAGCTCTAAGATCACCATCCAACAGTCCACCTATCACCAATATTTGCCACAAAGCCGCGTCCCTCAGTACAACATCTAAACATTTCCTGAGCACTTCAGGGATGGGGATTGTTCAGCTGTTCTCAGTATCTGCACCTGAAAACTCTCTCCTCTTGTCTTTCTGCAGCACAGAATCATAGAATCATAGAATCATAGAATCACCAAGGTTGGAAAAGACCTAAAAGATCACCCAGTCCAACCGTTCACCTCTTCCCAACAGCTCCCACTAAACCACGTCCCTCAACACAACATCCAGCCTTTCCTTGAACACCCCCAGGCTCGGTGACTCCACCACCTCCCTGGGCATCCATTCCAGTGCCTGACCACCCTTTCTGAAAAGTAATGCTTCCTCATGTCCAGCCTGAATCTCCCCTGCCGTAGCTTGAAGCCATTCCCTCTGGTCCTATCACCAATGACACGAGAGAAGAGGCCGACCCCCAGCTCACTACAGCCTCCCTTCAGGAAGTTATAGAGAGCAATGAGGTCTCCCCTGAGCCTCCTCTTCTCCAGGCTGAACATTCCCAGCTCCTTCAGCCTCTCCTCATACGGCCTGTGTTCCAGACCCCTCACCAGCTTTATTGCCCTCCTTTGAACACGTTCCAGGGCCTCAATGTCTTTCTTGCAGTGAGGGGCCCAAAACTGGACACAGCACTCGAGGTGCAGCCTCACTAGCTGAATATAGGGGAAAGCAGGGGATAGCATGACGAGTGATGAGCAGTTGTTCCTGTGTCATCTTCCCCTCCTTCCCATGACTCAGCCCCCTCTGCTCTTGCAGCTGCTGGCAGCCCCACTGTCCTGCAGCACCATCCCCGGGCCCATTGCCCTGGGTTGGGGGCCAGGGTTCCCACCCACCGTGCCCACGTTTGCTGGGAGGCAGCATGGGGCCCTCAGTGCATTGCGCCCGGAGCTGCAGGTAGCCCGGGGCCCATCTTTCTGATAAAAAGGAGAGAGCCAATTAATTCTGGAGCCAGAACAGCCACAGAAGAGGAGACTTCAGGGAGGATTTAGCGAGCAGTGGCCCAGATACATCAAACCGTCTGCAGCACAGCGCAGTATCCCATTAGGGCTCCTCTATGTAACAGCTGATGTTACTTATCCTATTAGATGACTGACGCTGCTTTGATGTATTCCCAGGAGACTGGGCCATGGTTTTCCCAGGTGGATTTCTGCCACCCCTGACGTGAGGTTCGTGCCCACCAGGCAGGGTTCTGATGAGGATGAGCTGCGTGGCTCTGCTCCTTCCCTTTGCTTGGAGATGTTGTCCCCAGGCGTGCCAGCATCACTGCTCTTTCCCTGTTGCACTGGGCAGGCTCCTTGCTGACCAGGGAGGCTGCTTTGCTCTGCTGGGTCTGCTGGCCTTGCGCTGGAGCTCTCCTGCCTCCAGCCTGGAGTTAATTCTGCTGATTCCCGGTTTCTTCCCGACAACATGAGCTGTTCACCTCCACCAAAAGGTGGAGTGTTTAGCTAATCAAAATCCATTCTGAAATTGGTGACTGGTCTGTTTCTGTTGGTATTACCTCACCCACTTCCTCCAGGTCTGCTTAATGCAGATCCCCACACATCCACTGCGGTTTTGCCATGCTGAGGGTCTGCTAGGCAGAATGAACTTGAACTTTGTTCACGCTCAGCTGGGGCTTGGCTGAGCCCTGACGGAGCAGCAGGGCTGGAGCTGTTCACAGATTAATGGGACAGAGCAGAAAGAAAAGTCACATTGCTGCCTACCACCTGGGGAGCTGTGAGATGCAGCCTTGACCTCAAATAGTTCCTATCTGCAGGCAGAGAGAAGGGAAGAGGCTGCTGTGATCAAGTGCTGGAGCACTGCAAAGAAGCAATGTTTTGTTAAACTGATAAAACCTGGCACCCACATCGCTGCAGGGCTGCACATACTGTGAGTGCAGATGAAAATTCACTGGCTTGGAAGTAAAAGGGTGTTAGAAGTGCCTCTTTGGAAGATGGCCGCGGGGTGACATCTGTATCATCTTCTGTGCGTGGGCTTGGAATGTGAAAGATATTTCTGGAGAGCTGAACCTTACCAATAAAGCTGGCTATCTCCAACAGCCAATAAAGCTGGTGAGCTCTGACAACCAATGAAGATGGTAAATTCAAACAACCTCATGTCATGTCCTTGTGAACCCATCACCCCGCAGCGACCTCACATCTGCTGTGCTGTGGGGTGATGCACGCAAACCCAGTGAGGAGAGTCCATCCAGGAGAACGTGGCAGAAGTTTGGCTGTGGAATGGGACCAAAGCTCAGCATAGCTGCTGCACTGCAGAGCCATTAAACGTGGTTTGGGATGTGCAGATAACCCTGCACAGCTGGGGGACAGCGCGGTGGTCAGCGTGCAGGGAGAGAGAGAGATATGACTAGAGATCCCAGCCAACATTTTGAGCTTCAACCCCAGTAAGATTCCATCCCCAAACAGCCCTTGTCACTCTCAGCCTGGTGCCAGTGTCACTTTTCAAAAGCCACATTCCAACCTGTCCCTCTGCTGGGAGAAAGAAGAGGACAGACTCTTTAGCGGGGTCTGTTGTGACAGGACAGGGGGAATGGTTTCCAACTGAAAGAGGGGAGATTTAGATAGGATGCAAGGAAGAAGATTTGTACACTAAGGGCAGTGAGGCACTGCACAGGTTGCCCAGAGAGGCGATGGTGCCCCATCCCTGCAGACAGCCAAGGTCAGGCTGCAGGGGCTCTGAGCACTGATGGAGCTGTGGGGGTCCCTGTGCACTGCAGGGAGTGGGACCTGATGGCCTTTAGGGGTCCCTTCCAACTCCAGTGATGCCCTTGGCAGAGGAAACTGGCCAAGGAAACAGGAAAGGACGATGGTACAGGAAAGTGCTGCAGCACCCGTGCAAAAAGGGACCAGCAGAACATATGCAGATAAGAAGGCAAGCTTTGCCTTCTGAATTAAGGATCAGGAAGTAGCAACATGGTCATAAATATTGCTTTTCAATAACTGCGCTTGCAGGCATTGAATCCATCGAAACCTAAGAGGAAGGAGAGGTTCCTCCATGAGTGAGATTGGAACCAAAAGCCCCTTCCTCATCGTGCAGATGCTCATAGAGCCTGTAGGTTATCACGAGAACTTAGTTCTGGCCCATACTCAGATGATAGTGGATTTTTAATCCTATCTTCCTGATACATTAATGTTTGCTTTAAACAAATAGAATCCCTCTTTATAACGCCATAAGAAAGCACAGAATGTGGCATTTATATCGCAGTAAAATTTTATGTGTGTTTGCACAACTACTTGACAGCACAAACATTGGTGTTTCCTTAGGGGATGTGCTTTGAGGTTTCCTGTGGGGAAATGGGAACACTGACAGCTCGCAGCTGGGAGACAGGCATTTTCCCTATTGCAGATGGTCCAGAGGCCAGTAAGGAAAAGGAAATTGTCAAGGGCAAGAGCTACCTGTACAACAGGGGATTGTATCTCTCCATCAGCACACAGCTCCTCGTCCTCTCTGCAGTCACACTGGGGATCGACTCCCTCTGAATTTGTTGCTCCAGCACTGTGCAGGGGTGCGAAGCAGAGCCTGTGCTGGTGGGTGAGCTGCCCTATGGCTATGGGCATGGTGCCTCTGGGGAGCAGACTGAGTCCTGGAGAACTCATTCTGTCATTTTTCTTAGCTTGGATTTTGGCAGAGAGGCAATTCCAGGCACACCGTGTCCTTCAGAACTCTAAAAGTTCGTCGTCTTCCTCATGATCCTCCACGGGTCAGAGACTCCTGGCTCCTCGGATGGGACTTCTGTGAGCCTGGCGTGGCTTCATGGCCACCCCAGTGATCAAAGATCTGGTGACTTGTGGCATTCACACGGACCCATCAAGAACCATGAAATGCTGGGCATGGATAATGTCCCATCCCTATCAGAGATGCTGTTCAACCATCTCATCTGTGCAAAAGTGATTTTGAAACATCATCTAAGAGATCATGCAGGTGGGAAAACATCCCATTTTTTGATTCACACAGTAACTTTCTGGAAATCCTGTCCATCTCCCTGGTTGCTCTGATCCAGTGGCTGAGCTGCAAGCTGGTGCCCAGGAACAGCTCTGGAGATTTCCTGAGGAGATCTGGACTTCTCCATGCAAGCAACACAATTCAATTCTGCACACTCTGCCTAAGGAGAAGGGGATTCTCCTGGCACCAGGTGCTCCCCAGGGTGATGCTTGGGATCTGAGAGTGGGACACAAACAGTCTTGTGTTTCAGCTGGCCCCTGATATGACAAGGTAGACCATTTCCACCATCGTTTTGGTTCTGCTTCATGCCTGCTGGACTCGATTGAGCCACACAACATGTTCGTTCCAGAAGGAAGCAGGGATCTCACTGCACCCAGCTCCTTGCCACCTCGGCACGGATCCAGCAGGAGAGACTCTGGCGTGACAGGGCACTGCACTGAGCGGGGCTGCATCTCCAGCATGAACACTGAAGCGACAGGAGGGAGCTGAGCAAACATCTTGGAAAGCAGTTGGTATGTGCACGGGAGACCTGCGTGGCACACGGGGAAGCGCACCGATGAGCTTTTCTAAGAACTTGCTTGCCACTCTGCAGCTGGAGCGATATTTGCTCTGGTCCTGATAAAGGCTCTTATCAGAGAAGATCAATCTGCCTGCTGTGGGGAAGTGACCGTTTGGGTTACAGCCCTGTTACTGGCAGTCATCTGTGTGCCCCAAGGTGAGCACAGGACCGGCCCTGGGGCAGCGTCAGCCGCACTCCTCCCCAGCATCTGCAGCTATAAATCCTGTGGTTCAAAGCGTGTCTCCAGACACATCCTGTGCTTCTGAGTGTTTCTGTGGAGGCAGCATGGGTGAGTGCGTGTGAAGAGCAGGGTGGGTTGCCCCCTCTAAACCCACCGCACCAGCAGAGCCCTCCCTTTGCTCCTGTGGATGGAGGACTGGCTGCCAGGGCAGTAGGGTGGCACCAGGTACTTCACAACAGCAGTGGAACTGTGCTCTACACTCACCTTGTCCCTTCTTCCCACAGCTTCCCAATGTGCTCCCCTCCTGCTGCTTGCCTGTGTGGTGGCCCTGCCTGCCATGAGTCTCATTGATGCTGCCCAAGACCTGACCCTCCTCAGTCGATCTGTCTCGAATAGCAGTCCATCAGCTCTCAGCGTGCTGACAGACGGTAGGTACACGAAAGGCCTTCATCTCTGCAGGCAGAACCATGCTCGGGCCCATGCACAGGTGTCCTGCCCTCTCTCTGTGTCTGGTAGGACGGGGAAGGTTGGTCCTGCAGGGAGGTGGAAGTTGGGCTGGCTCAGCAAGCAGGTCAGAAAACCTCTGCTGGCCACAGTGGTCTGGGGTAAGGAAAATCGGGTCCACAAATAGCACCAAGTGCTACCAGTGTTAGAAGAGCATGACTGATACCCATTTGGCTGGAGGCACAGATTGCAATGCCATGCCCAATCTCTAACGCAGCAAAAATATTTGGAAATGGGGACTTTAGAAGATAAAGGCACCTTCTCCATCCAGGAGGTGTTAAGGCTTTACATCTTACTGCTTGGGCTCCACCTCTGGAGACAGAAAGCATTTCCTGATCTGAGTTCCAGCTTTGCTGGATCTTCCCTACTTCTTCCAACTCTTCTCCGTGCTGTTGGTTTCCATGTCACAGGTGAGATCCGCCTGGTGAATGGCTCCAAACCCTGCTCTGGACGGGTGGAGGTCTGGTACCACAATGAGTGGGGAACGGTGTGTGACGACGGCTGGGACCTGAAAGATGCCTCTGTGGTCTGTAGGCAGCTTGGCTGTGGGGAAGCAGTGTCAGCTCCATCTCAAGCTTTCTTTGGAAGTGGATCCGGACCTATTTGGCTGGATGATGTTAACTGCATTGGGAACGAGAGCCTGCTCACTCAGTGCACGCTGAGGGCCTGGGGACAACACAACTGCAGGCACAGCGAGGATGCAGGCGTCGTGTGCTCAGGTAGAGCGTGCTGCTCTGTGTCCCTTACTAATATCCAACTGCAGGTGTGCGATGGGATGCACCTCTATCTTTCTTCTACGGGGTCTTATTAGATTCCCCTCTCTCCTGCCACACTGGCCAGTAAGGGGTGGGTCCAGTGCCACTCTGTGTGGAAAAGGGCCTCACAGCATCTCTCACCCCAACCCCACTCCAGGTTTAATGCTAACAGAGGTGAGGAAGTGCCCAGCACAGGCTGCAGTGCTCGCGTGTGTGTGTGTGTGTGTATGTGCACTATGCAGGTGATGAAGGCACCTGTGTGCTGGCAGAGGCTGTTCTTCTCTCTCCTCAGCCACAGGAAGGGGCAAGGTCCTTTTCACATCCCTGTCCAGTCCAACTCTGTTTTAGCCACACAGCCCCTTTCAGCATCTATATTGTTCTCCGAGTCTGATACCAGCATGGTCCAGTGGGACTGTTGCCCTTCCCTTGGGGCCACCTCCTGCCAGGTCCTGTTGGAGAAGATGAGCAAAGGTCCGAGGCCAACCCAGTCGCACTGTCAGGAGAGCGCATTGACCTCTCTGGGCTGGGACAGCTGAGAATCTGCGAGGTGCTCCGGCCAGTTGTCCGTCTGTTCTTCCACAAGATGAAGGCGTGCTCTTTTTCTGTTGCACAGCCTTTTGTTAAAGCACGCTCTCTCCTGCCCCAGGTTGGCCCAAGGACTGCAGTGAGCTCTCTGCAGGCAGCCCCAGCGGCGTCTACATCATCCAGCCCTCAGGGCTGCACCCCCTCGTGGTGTACTGCGAGATGAACGTGACGGACGGGGGCTGGACGGTCATCCAGAGGAACAGCCACAACACAGACATCACCTGGGCCGAGTCCTGGAGCACCTACAAGTACGGCTTTGGGAACGTGCGCGGCGACTACTGGCTGGGCACCGAGTACATCCACCAGATCGCCAAGCAGAAGGTCTACCAGGTCAGGTTCGTCATCTCAGACAATGCAGACAACGTCAGGTTCGCAGACTACAACCTCTTCAGTCTGGATGATGAGGCCCAGGGCTACCGGCTGCGGCTGGGCTCCTACGCGGGCACAGCGGGGGATGCCATGGCTTTAGCCAATTCCGCCACTGTGCACGACAACATGAAGTTCTCTGCTAAGGACTTGGATCAGGACACCAACAGCGGGAACTGTGCCTCCGCCAACGGGGGCGGCTGGTGGTATTCGTCCTGTTACTCCGTACGGCTCAATTTCAAGGGCGGCTTGACGTGGAGCGGTCTGTGCAGCGGCAACTGCAGAGCTTCTGCCATCCTCATCAAACCAGCTACCTACTGCTAGTGCTTCTTGTCTGCCCATCCATGCCAGGCACGTTGCCTGGGTTCTCAAGAGATTTTTTTCATCTCTTTTGTGGAGTCGCTCTGCTTCCCTTGCTGGGTTCTTCCTCTGAGCTGTTATTATCTTCATTACACTGTAATCAGAATAACACACTGCCAAACCTGTCCTTCTGAAAACACATTGCTTTGGAGAATAAAATCTATTTTAGAAACGTAACACCTTGATGATCATTGGGTTTACGTGGGAAGGTTCTGATAATGAGGGGGCTGCAGGGGGTCACTGTGAGCAGGTCTGAGGAGGAGCAGGCTGTTCCCCTGAAGCCTGTAGGCTCCAGTAGGAGCAGATCTTCAGGTGCAGCCATGGAAGAGCCCACATGAAGCAGGGGCAGTGGGGGAGTGACGGAGATGGGGAGAAAGACTTTTTTCTTCTGGTCTGTACTAACAAGAAGAGATAAATCACATTAATCTCTTTCACACTGAATCTGTTGTGCTGGTGACATTAACTGGTGAGTGACCACAGAATGACTCAGGTTGGAGACAGATCTTTAAGCCCATCCAGTTCCAACCCCTGCTGTGGGCTGGGTGCCTTCACAGCTCAGACTGCCCATGGCCCATCCATTGCCTGGGGCACCCTCAATTTTCCCCATCCTTGTCTCAATCTACAAGCTTTCTTGTTCATCATGTTTTCTTCCTCTGTTCTGTTAATGAGGGGAAATGAGAGAGCAGCAAGATGGAGACGAGCTGCTCACCAGTGTGAAACCCCCACATCATCCCAAGAAAAAGGTCCCTGCTCTTTGTTGTGTGACTGTGTGGGCCCTTTCTCCAGAGTTTATGTCACCCTCTCATTAGCTGAGGGAAGGATAAAGCTTCATTATTTCCTAGCTTGAACTAACCTGCTTGCAATCTGTTGCCTATCCTGGGTCTCACTTTCCCCTGAGTCTCACAGCACCACCCCCATGCCTGGCACTGGGACCACCAGAGATGGATCCCCCATGGCACAAACCCCCTCCTCCTGCCCTAGAGGCAGCCTAGAGGCCCCTCAAGGCTCCCTGACGCCCCCCAGGACCACTTGCATGTGTGTGCGCAGTGTAGACACAGCAAGGAGACAGGAGGCAGCAAAATCTGGCTCTGGGATTTATTGCAGCTGATTTCTCACACTGTGGGTAGCACTGATGGGACTGAGGAGCAAAGGGGGCCGGGCTGCGGATGGAGGCACTCCCCCAACCTTTGGCACAGTCAGCACACGTCGGTGGGTTTGACCAGGATGAGGGATGATGTGCAGTCACCTCTTGGGCAGATTTCTGGCCAGAGGATGTACTTTTTGCCATTGAGGAGGACGTTCTGGCACTTGTCGTACCACCACCCCCCGTAGCTGCTGGCGCAGTTCCCGCTGTGCTGGTCCTGGTCTTTGTCCACCGTGCTGAACTTCATGTTGTCGTGGATGCCCGAGGAGTGGTAGCTGGCCAGGTAGTCCGTCCCGCTGCTCAGGAGCCGGCCCAGCCTCAGCGGGTAGCCGCTGCCCTCGCTCTCCACTCTGAAGATGTCGTACTCAGCATAGTGGGTGACGTTGGCTTTGTCCCGCACGACGAAGCGGACCTTGTAGGTGCCCTGCTGTGTCAGCAGGTGCAGGTACTCGGTGCCCAGCCAGTGGTCGCCCTGCACGTTCCCGAAGCCGTACTTGTAGGTGGTCCAGGACTCTTTCCACGTGATCTCAGTGTCGTAAGTGTTCCTCTGGACAACAGTCCAGCCCTTGCCCTCGGTGTCCATGTCGCACCACACCACGCGGGGGGGGGACCGCGCCGGCTGGATGACGTACACCCCGCTGGGGCTGCTGCTGGTGAGGTGGCTGCAGTCTGCGGGGAACCCTGAGACAGCAAATCAAGCAAGACATGCATTGCAAAATGTGCTGGTGAGGCACCGTGTGCAGCTGGACTGGTGCTACAGATGCTGGATTTCAATGGACGCTGCACCCTGCACATGCTGGGAATCGCTCTTCTCTGCTGGTGATAAAAGACAAGAACCAGCCTCCTCTGCAGCTCAGGTCTGAATGGAACAGAGAGGCTTGCACCCAGCACCTGGCGGCACGGCTGTCCTCAGCAGTACCCAGAGTGGTGCACAGCAAACCTGGGGGCTTCTCAGCTTGGTGGGAGCACCCACACCCCTACTCACCAGCCAAGGCTGTGGCGCACACTGGGCTGGTGCAGAGAAGAAGCATCACCACTGCCACGGGCAGGAGGATGAGGTTCACACGGAGCTGGCGTGTTCCAGCCTGCAGCCCTGGGGAGGGAAAGGTGCAGCACCGTCAGGACCCCTGGGCAGCCCCCCCCCGCCCCCGCCCCTCAGCAGCCCTGGGGAGCTGTGACCAGGGAATGCAGAGCTGCAGACATGGAGCAGGATATGTGGGCTGGGAGATGGTTCCTCAGCCAGCCTCATCCCTGCACCTCACTGCAGCCTGTGGTCACGGATTCTTCTGTTCCTTCTGGTAGTTTTGATTGTCTTTGTTTTCTACAGGGCTAGGGGTAAACAGGCATTTTTACGACAAATAATCTGTGCTAAGCACGTTCTGGGCAAATAGTTTGAAGCACTGCAGCTGAGTTTGCTGCATAGAACTCATTGCCCCAGGTGCGGAACGTGCACTTCATGGGGACACAGCAGCAGCAGCAGCAGAGAAGTGAAAATAAATGAGCAGGTGGAAATGGGAGGACAGGCTCACCTGTTCTGGCTTCCATGGTCCCCCACTGCTGCCACTTAGCTTGATCTATTGCATCCCCTGCCGTGTGGCAGGACTGTGCCTGAAGCTGTAAGCACTCAACAAAATGAGCTGTTGGAAAGAAAGAGAACTCACCCATCGCCATAGCGCTGCACGGGTGCCAGGAGCCTGGGCAGTGAGTCCTGCAGCTCTGAGCTCCATGCGAGGGTCAGCCCCTTTATAGCCAGCTCTGTCCCAGTGCACACCCCTCCGTTCCTCGTGTGCCCATCTGGGATCTTCTCTTTGCTCAAGGTGACACAAATAGGTCATAAATTTCTTTCTGTTAAAAAACAAAGTGTCCCTTGCTTCCCAGGTGTGGGGCATTTACCAGATGCTGTTCACTGGAGGTGTCCGGGTGTTGTACCTCTTCAGGAATCTACCAGCTGTTGAGCTAAAGGAGATGAAGTGTGGGGAAAAGTCAAACGGAAGGGCAGGAATGTGAAAATAGAAGGAACCAAGTGCAGAAAGTACCATGATTACCGGCAGCACAAATTGTATGGCATGCGGGAATTAGAGAGTGTAAAACCCATGGGTGGTGGCTTCTCAGCAGCTGCTGGGTAGCAGCGTGTCACAGCCCTCCTGTGATGGCACCAGCTCAGGGCCAGGCACAGAGCTGGGCTGCACACACTCCCTGCCTCTTTGTGCCCACTATGGGTAGATGCTGAGGGCTGGAGGCAGCAGCCTGCTCCCCAGAGCCACCCCTGCCCCTAGAAGTGCTTTGGGCAGCTCTGAGCACAAACTTGGTTCCTCAGCAGCACCGTTCCCCTGCACTTCCCTTCCTTCTGCATACATTTGGTGGCAGCTCAGGGGGCTCTGCTGACCGCCTGCTCTTCCCATGGCACGCAGTATGGGCACTGCCCAGCAGTGCTGTGCAGGCTGCACGTGCTCTGGGAGAGCATCCTACATGGTCCGGGAATCCATATGGGATATGGAGCCCTACACTCATTCACAGAGCTCTTCAAGCAGCAATTAGTGCCAGCAGAACCACATCGGGTCTGGTTAACAAGTGAGAGGTCTCCCTTATTTCACAAAAGCTCTCAGGGCTGCTGGAGTCTCTTTCACTACAGCATATTTTGTGGTGCCAGCAGGTCCTCGCCTCAGATACCATGTGTCACCTTGGTGCTGACGTGTGAGGACACAAAGCAACCAGAGGTTGTCCGAAGGAGGGCAACCAGAGCTCGAAGCACCTGGAGAGGCTCTGCCATGCAGCCTGGGTCAGGGATGCCTTCAGAGGGTTTGGTGTCAAATCCAGTAATAACGCTCCTTATCTGGAGCATTTGCCAGTCCAGTGGAGTGATGTGCAAACACGGGATGCCGGCTGCCGTCTGGTTTAGGATCTCTTATCACAGAAAGGTGCAGCTGGGGAATGAACAGCGATGCTGATACACGGAGGGCAAACAAACCATCCGTCTCCAGCCGGGATGATGGTGGAAGGCGGAGCGCTGCCCTCACCCGCCGAGCCCCATATATAAGCACGGTGCCTCCAGGCCAGGCACCTCGGCTTCCCGCTCCACAGGGACCCTGCAGCAACATCATGGGTGAGTGCGTGCTGGGCGCTGCGCGGATGCCCCTCCTGCGCCCCTCCTCCTCCGGGCTGCTGCCACCTCTGCGCTGGGCTGTGGGTCAGCGCGGCTCCTGCTGCGCACCCGCCCTGTCTGTCGCCCTCCTGCTCCTCGCGCTCCCTCCTCTGTTCCTGAGCGCACTTAAACCCACTCCGCACTGCGCTGTGTCGTGAAGTGCCTTATATTTGTGCCCAGAGCATCGAGTGCATTTATAAACAGAGCGGAAGCTTAGTTGAGGTGCTCAGCAGCCGTCGGCCTGAAGCCTCTTAGGGCACGGGAGTGGGGCAGGCATTTCGCAGATGCTCATCTATGGGGCTGGCTGCGAGCAAGCTGTCGGGGAAGCTCCTGATCTGACACAGTCTGAAGGAGTCCGATTGGTCAGGTTCCCAAATGCTCCTCATCTGATTGTGGAAGCCACGGAGTCCTGCTTTGGCCAATGCTACAGCTGAACAGCGTGACTCCATCCCTGGAAGCTGCACTTTCCCCGTGGAAAATCCCCATCCCTGTAGGCTGCAGACAGTTGCGTACTTTTGCGGAATGTTTCTTTTTATATTTCTGCCCCTCGGTAAAGCACAGCGTAATTAATGCTGTGGCTTTGTCTGTTTTACGAGTTTGTTCTAACATTTGCTGAGTTTATTTATCCAAAGCTCCCTCACCAGGAAGGCTGGGTTTGCACTTCCACTCACTGTGTCTGCTCTCCCTGCAGCTGCTCATCACTCCGGCCTCCTGCTCTGTACCTGCATGCTGGCCCTGCTCGCCCCTCTTCTTGCTGTGCAGATTGAAAACCTGACAAGACTGAAAGCAAATCTGTCTGACATTCTTAATCTCCACTCAGATGGGCACCATCCTGGTATGTGTTTTCTCTCTTACACCCCTGAACATTGATCATCCGAACACCAGGAGCCTCCTGCTCTCTGCGCAGAGGGGAGGTGTGGAAGGGAACAGTGGTGAAGGGCAGACACGCTCAGAAAGAACAGGAGCTCAATCACATCTTTCTCCCATTTCAGATATTCTCTATACACTGCATGATCTGGAAGTTCAGCCTTCTTTATTATTGACAGGATGTACATGGTAGCTTTATCTAGAGACCTGCAGATATCCAAAGGAAGACCTTTTCTCTGTAGTCTGTCTAAACCCCTGAAATGTCACCAGGTCAGATTGGATATTAGGAGAAATTTCTTCTCCAAAAGAGCGGTGCTGCAGTGGCACAGCTGCCCAGGGAGCAGAGGGGTCCGTGGAGGTGTTCCATGGGGATGTGGCACTGAGGGACGTGGGCAGTGGGCACGGTGGGGTGCGTTGGGGTTGGGGATCTTAGAGGACTTTTCCAGCCTGAACGATTCTGATTCCGTGGAACTTAATGCCTTCTGAAGATTGTTCACAGCTAAATGGTGTAATAAATGAGTCACACCAATAACAGAGGTCACTGTGGGTGTTTGAGGAATGCAGATTTATGAATACGGATGCTGTGATTTCTTTATAAAGAAAGCCCTGCTATCACTTTGCTTTGAGCTCCTGTTCCTGTCCGAAGGTTTTCGAAGCATTTTGTGAACTGAACACATCAACGCCTTCAGTCTGCACTGAGGAGCTGGTAACTTCAGCTTGGGGGGTTACAGCAACATCACTCAGCAGTTTGATCTAATTCCACGCAGTCTGCTTGCTTCTCAGTCCCTCTCCTCCAGCAGTCTTTCCCTGTACTCATCACTGCTGCTGTGGTGCAGTCCACACCAGGCAGCTCTGTGAAGCCGTAATGCTGAGTGGACCAAACAATGCAGCCCAGCGACTCATCCTCTGTAGTCCTGCCTCTCCCGGTGCCTCATTCCTTTGAAGAGTTTACAGTGCAAAGCTACCATATAAGAAGAAAATGGAGCCAGGTGGCATTGCTGAAGTATCCTACCAACAGCAGTGCTAGAAATAACAGCCCCTGGAAGCCGGAGTTACTTCTGTGCCATGGCACAGGGCTGCCCAGCTCACTCGTTTTGCTTTTCCCAATGCAGGTGAAGATGAAGGAGACGTGCGGCGTGGCAGAGCCAGTGGCACAGGTCAGCACAAACAGCCCATTGCCTGCAGGGTTCCGGCACTGGGACGTGCAGGCAGCGAGGGCCAAACAGCAGTGGGTGGGCACAAACCCGGGAACAGCACGGCTCATCTCCTGTTGGGCAAAACTCAGTGCAGAACTTTACATAGAACGGTTCCTTCTGAGATCCCAAAGGCCTCCCCAGCCTTATGTACACGTCACACATCCTCTCCTGCCCTGTGAAGCTCTGCACGGGGCAAGCAGAGGATGCTCCTCCCAGGGTATGCCAACAGGAGGTTCTCCCCTTCCTGAACCCAGAGATGAGGTGGATCTCAGAGCTGCAGGAACAACACGCTTTCTCATTTAAGTTTCTGTAAAATAAAGTAAAAGAAGCCCTCACCAGGCTAAGCTTGAGCCCCTGTATTATTAGAAGGAAGGATAATTGTGAAAACTGGGGAAGGCTGCGGAGACAAAGATCTGAACAAAGAAAGAGAAGCAAATTCTCTGATTGCATGGCCAAAATGCATCCATGGTTTTTTAATCACTGTGTTTCCCTTACAAAGGTTTTCTGTTCATACACTTACAGTGGGAAACACAGTGACAGCCTTTTTACTGCATGGCAAATTTCCACATCTGCAAATTTTTTAGCAATCAGTGTCACAGAAGCCAACAAGCAGACCTGGTGTCACCGCGCCTGTTGGTTCTCCGTGTTTTAATCTGCCCCAGGTTGGCCCAAGGACTGCAGTGAGCTCTCTGCAGGCAGCCCCAGCGGCGTCTACATCATCCAGCCCTCAGGGCTGCACCCCCTCGTGGTGTACTGCGAGATGAACGTGACGGACGGGGGCTGGACGGTCATCCAGAGGAACAGCCACAACACAGACATCACCTGGGCCGAGTCCTGGAGCACCTACAAGTACGGCTTTGGGAACGTGCGCGGCGACTACTGGCTGGGCACCGAGTACATCCACCAGATCGCCAAGCAGAAGGTCTACCAGGTCAGGTTCGTCATCCACGATGCCTCCAACAACGTCAGGTTCGCAGACTACAACCTCTTCAGTCTGGACGACGAGGCCCAGGGCTACCGGCTGCGGCTGGGCTCCTACGCGGGCACAGCGGGGGATGCCATGGCTTTAGCCAATTCCGCCACTGTGCACGACAACATGAAGTTCTCTGCTAAGGACTTGGATCAGGACACCAACAGCGGGAACTGTGCCTCCGCCAACGGGGGCGGCTGGTGGTATTCGTCCTGTTACTCCGTACGGCTCAATTTCAAGGGCGGCTTGACGTGGAGCGGTCTGTGCAGCGGCAACTGCAGAGCTTCTGCCATCCTCATCAAACCAGCTACCTACTGCTAGCTGCATTTTCCTTTCCTTTCTGTCCAACCTGTGGCTAAGACTTGCTCGGCAAAGGGGTAGAAAAGGTAAAACGTGCCATGGCCAGACCTGATGCGTCATGGGTCTTTGCTGAGGTTTGCATCCCAGCTACTGAAGAAAATGAGCCGTCCTCCATTCTCCCTCCTTTAGGTCTCTTCTGCTCCTCAATTCAGCCTTTATTCTTTTGCTCAGATCCAGGTCATTTTAATTGTGTTAATAATCAGAACAGTTGCTCCCAAAACCTGGAGTTTCCAGATGTGCAATGTGCCTCAAATAAAATGTGAAACAGCCAAACTGCAATGCATCTCTATGGCTGTGTGAGCTGATTGACATCTTTAACTTCAGACAAACAACACAACTTTCACTTGTAGAAAGATTAAAATCTGTCGATCAGGATTGCACAAATTTCCACTCTTTGCCTTCTGTACTTCAGGCTTAACGCTTGTCAAGTATCAAAATAAATCTGTATTCAAAGAACTATCCCAAGTGTTAACATCTATTTCAAGTCTCTGCTGTGCTCGCAAAGGTCACCGTGCTCAAAAGCTTCCTCTGCTGAAGCCCTGCTTTCCCATAGGACAGGCGTTTGGGAAGGAGCTATGAATTAACAGCTTGTGTGCTGTGCTGCGAAGGGCAGTGGAGTTCAGCCACTGGAAATGGGAGGGGATGGGAAGCCAAGAGTCCGCATGAGGACTTCTGTCTTCTCTCACCTTCAAAACAGAGGGCGCTGTGAGCTGTGATTGGAGCCATCTACACACATAATTTGAAGGATTTCAGCGGCACACAAAATGATTGTCCTGCTGGAAAAACCGACCAAGTGTCCCCCTGGCTGTGCGCTCTGCCCTCCCCTCCAGGCAGCCAATGCCCAAGTGCACCTTGCCATCTTCAATCTTAAGCTGCTGTCTAATGATAAAGCTTTGTTAAATCACTATATTACATTTCTTTCGGGTCCTCTTCAGCAAGCTAGAGTGAGTTGTTTTTAATGAGCTGCTTTGTTTGTCTGCAGTCTGGAAAAGCAAATGTGTCCTTGTGAATGGCTTTAAATGACAGCCCCAAATCCCAGGTGCACCCAGTGCAGGGTCAGGGAGCCCAGAGGTGCACAGCTGTCCTGCTGCTGTGGAAGCACACGGCTGCTTTGTGCAGCAGGCACGTAGCAGCAGATACATCAAGTCGGCCCTCTGAGCACGAAACAGTCTCAAATGTGCTTCAGTTACGGCACAGACCAGTAGGAAGCCAGAAGGCTCTGACCGGTTCCATCCCCCTTGTCGGCCGCTCCTGGATGCAGCCGTTCCATCCATTACACCATCAGCCCGCCGGTGCAAAGCAGCGTTTCCCATACAGATCACAGCTTGCGTTGGTCTTCAAAGGATCAGTGTGTTTCTTTCTTTGAAGGAAGATGCTGCTGTGCTCCCTGCAGTTTCTGCCGTCCCCAGAGAAGCCCAGCCACCTCGTCCTGTGGCAGCACTGATGTCAGAGGGCGCAATAAAACGTGACAGCAATGACCAAGAAGTGATTGGAGAAGCAGGGAGTTTTGCTGCTGACTTTTCTCCAGTCTCCAGAGGGTGCCCTTGTCCCGGGGCTCCCCAGGCGGCCGTGGGGAGTGAAGGAAGTGTGGCCGTGCAGGGATGGGCAGGGAGAGCCACGAGGTATTGCCTGGCAGTTCAGCTGCAGGTTGCGATTTGCTCTGCTATTCGCCCTGCTCTGTTCCACTGGTGCAGGGTGGGATACGTGGGAGAGAGAGACTGAGACCTCTGGAGGAGGAAAACACAAGAATTACATCGCGTGGGTGTCAGAATTCTTTCCAAGAAGAGGAAATACAGCCAACTGTCTCTGAATTAGGGTTTCCCAGCCCTTTCCTGGAGAAGGAATGGACCCTACACCTTCCTCCAAAAGGCCTTGCTGCTCTCTCAGTCAATACTCTGCATTCTGACCCATTCCCTTCTTTCTGCCCATCTCATCTCCAAGAGCAACGTGATCCCTTCTCCTCCTCTCTGGGAATGCTGCACTGTCAGCATCTCTGTGGCTCTGCAGTGTTCTCTCCAGCCCAGGCCTCCCTACGCTGCAGGACCCAGAACTGCACAGAGGTCCCCAGGTGCAGCCCTACCAGTGAGGGGACCTCACTTCTCCGGCACTTGGCCTCAGTGGAGCAGAGCCTGCCTGCGTGCCAGGGCTGTTCAGTGACTTCGGAGTTTGTCCTAAGATTAAGGCCTTAATGTGACCCATATAACATAGCACTGAGCCATCAGATTGCTGTCTAGGCAACAAAACTGCAGCGCTGCCTCCTGCTTTCACTTTCTCTATCCTCTGCTGAGTTCTGGGTGGCTTCTGAGATACTTGTTGGAATTTTCTTAATTAGAGAAAATCCTGAGAAATGGGTAACAGTGGGCAGAGTGAACCGTTTGGGGTGAGCATGGCTGCTGCTGTGGCACTTTGGAGATCCAGCCTTCCCAAATGAACGTTTTCACAGCAGTACTGTGGATGATGATGCACTGGAAGCACCGCTTCAAGTCCTCACCTCCAGATGTGGGGCTGTATCAGCAACACCTTCATCAGGATTTCACAGACTTGTAAAATTGGAAAGTAATAGAATGGGTTGGGTTGGAAGGGACATCAAAAATAATCTGTTTCCAACTGCCTGCCACAGGCAAGGTTGCCAGCCACTAAATTGGGCACCAGCTGAGGCTGCCCAGAGTCCATCCACGGCCTGGGGCACCTCCAGGGAGGGGCACCCACAGCTCTGGGCAGCAGTGCAGCGCCTCACTGCCCTCTGGGTGAAGAATTTCCATCTCGCATCTAATCTACATCTCCTCTCTTTTAGTTTAAAGCCATTCCCCCTTGTCTTATCAGCAAGACACAACCAGCACGGCACCATCTCTTTCACCTGCCAAGGAAGAACCTCTGCAGGTACTGCTGGGTGGGCTGCATCCCTGTGCCATGCGCCAGCATCATGCAGCCTACTCTTTGAATATTAGTCACAGCTCCTCTCACCAGCTCCTGTGCATGCAATGGAAAACAGAGTATGAGTTTGGAGAGAGTTGCCTGAGGGTAGGAAGGCCCCACAGAGGGATGTGGACAGGCTGATCAGTGGGCTGAGGCCAACGAGATGAGCTGCAACAGGACCAAGTGCCGGGTCCTGCACTGGGGTCACAACTGCCCCATGCAGTGCTATGGGCCTGGGGCAGAATGGCTGGAAAGATGCATGCAGGAAAAGCATGTGGGGGTGTGAGCTGATACCCACTGACTATGAGCCAGCAGCGTGCCCAGGGGGCCAAGAAGGCCAGTGGCATCCTGGCTTGTGTCAGCAGTGCTGCAGCCGGCAGAGCAGGAGCTGCCCGTCCCTCTGTGCCGGCCCTGGTGAGGCTGCGTTCAGTGCTGCGTTCAGTGCTGGGCTCTCACTGCAAGAAAGACGTGGAGGCCCTGGAGTGCGTTCAGAGAAGGAACGGAGCTGTGAGGGCTGTGGAGCACGCGTCTGATGGGAGCGGCTGGGGGAGCTGGGGTGGGTCAGAGTGGGGCAGAGCTCAGGGGAGGCATCACTGCTGCCTGCAGCTGCCTGAAAGCAGGTGGTGGGGATGGGGGTCGGCCTCTGCTCCCAGGTAACAGCGACAGGATGAGAGGTGATGGCCTTAAAATGCACTGGGGGAAGTTCAGGTTGGATATTAAGAAAAATTTCAAAAGGAGCAGCGATGCAGTGGCACAGGGAACTGTGGAGATGTGGTACTGAAGGCTGTGGTTAGGGACATGGTGGGGTGGGTTGGGGTTGGATTCGGGACCTTAAAGGTCTTTTCCAACCTTATCGATGCTGTGATTCTAATAAAAATTCTATCACCGTTCCTTTTCCTGGTCCCCCCAGCTCTCGTGTTCTGAAAACTGCTGAACAACCATTATCAAATTATTCCTTATTCCCCTGCAGCCCTAGGACTTTCCACGGCCTCAATCTCTTTCCGAACACGGGCATTCTGATACGACCAACCTTCTATCGCCATTCTCACTTCTGATTACCCAACTTCCTCACCTCTGACTTTTTCCAACTGTTCATGCCGGGAACCAAACCGGCACACACCTTCTGGTTAAACAGCAGAAGCGATGTCTTCTGCTGTAAGGCCTGGGGCACCGGCAGGGATGGGGCCCCCGCCGCTCGGGGCAGCAGCACAACGCCTCACCGCCCTCTGAGTAAAGAACTTCTTCCTTATAGCTGCTCCAAACTGCTCTCTGTTAGTTCAGAGCCACAATCAGCCCTGTCCTATCCCCGATACCTGCCGGGTGTCACCGCCCGGCCCGGCACTGCCAGCCCCCTCTCCCACATCTCCGCACGTGCTTTCCCCTCGGCTGTCCGCATCTCCGCAGCACGGCTCAGTGACTCCGCGAGCGTTGTGCAGAGCTGGATGCCCGTTGCTATAATTTGAGTTGTTTGCGTCCCTTAATCTGTATTTGTTCCCTCGGAAGTGCAGGGAGACGCACGAGGGCAGAGGCGCTGGGTAAACACCGCGCTGCTCTCCCTGCCGGCACCCGATCAGCTCCGGGTAAACACAGCCGATCGCCAGCGAGCGGTGGGCCGGGCGCCGGGGCGAGCGAAGGCGAGCCGCGCCGCAGAGCCCGCAGCCACGAACGGCGGCCGTGGGCGGGATCAGCGCGCCGCTATAAGTGCGGCTCAGCGCCAGGAGCGCCTGCGCAGCCGGGCCGGGCCGCACCGCACCGCGTGGCTGGCGGTGCCGGCGGGCGAAGTGCGGTGCGCCGCGGCTCGGGAGCGCGTTGGACGTGCGGCCGGGCCGGGGGCCGGAGGGGCGCGCGGTGCCGCGGGTTGGGCGCTGCCGGCACGCGGACCGAGGGCTCGTGACGGCGCCGGGCGATGGCTCGGGCTCAGCTGGGGCTGCCGAGCCCCTTCGCGCAGCCCCCGGTCGGACCGTGCCCCGACTCCGACTTTGACTCCGATTCCGAGGACGCGACCGCGGGCGGTGCGGGGCCCGGCGCCGGGCCGCAGAACCCCTCGCAGGTCATCCATAGCGGCCACTTCATGGTGTCATCCCCGCACCGCGACGCGCTGCCCCACCGGCGTCAGCGCCGCGCCGAGCCCTCGGCCGCCGATCCGCGGAGCATTGACCCGACCCTGACGCGGCTCTTCGAGTGCATGAGCCTGGAGTACAGGTGAGTCCCAGGGCGACTCGCTGATCCCCGGCTCTTTGGAGGCCCCGGCTCTGCTGATCGCCCCGTTGCTGATTGCTAAGTGCGAACCGATGGATGGTGTCCCGTCTGCTCTTCTGTTGGGCTGTGATGTGATGTCTGCTCACAAAATGCTGTCCTGGGAGGTTTCGGGGGGAAGGAGCTGGTGCTGGGGCAGCTGTCATGGAGCAGCTGGGAACTTCTTCCTGTCTTGGCACATCTTACCCGCTGTCCTCCAGGAGAGCTGTCGTCACCTCCTGCAGCTCTCAG